CTGAGAACCTAAGTGTCTCCTTCCATTAGTGGTGCCAGTTTTATAGAATCAGTCCTTTCCTACCAGCCTCTTCCACTCACCCCTGCCTCAGCCCTTAGACCTGGTGGGGCAGCCTCACAGGTCACAGAGAAAGATGGGTGCCCTGTGTGAAACCCACTCTTTCTCCTGTCCACCGTCCAGATGCCCAGTCTGAGGAAAGTCCTGCTGCCTCAGGGACGGAAGGGCAAGAAGTCTGTGCCACTGTGTTCCCACTGATCTTATTCCCCCACCCTTTTCTCCTTCCTTAAGGACTTAGAGAATGCTTCAAGGTGGAGGACCAATAAATTACTCTGATTTGAACTTATTTAAGATAGTCTTTGTTCTGAGTATATCAGTTCTGGATCTCATCCAATAATCTCATCCAATTAGAGAAAGAAAATGGCTCTCCTCATACTTGTCACCTGTCTAAGTAGGAATTATATTTGCCTGCAAGTAGCAGACCCAAAACAATGGTGACTTAAATAAAGTTTTGGGCTTTATCTACTGTAAGAGATTGGCTATATAGTCCAGTAGCTCCCTGGATGTCATCAGCATTGCAGGAATCTTTTGGCTTTCTGCTCTGCTCTTCTGGGCAAAGGCTTACATTCTCAAGGTTAGTTCAAGGTCCCGAAGTGGCAGCTGCAGCTCCAGCCATCAGGTCTGCATTCTAAGAAGGAAGGGAGAAGGGAAAGGAGTTTCTGGCAGATGAAGAGCTTATTTTGCCCCCACCTAGTGATTTCCATATACATCTCACTGGTCAACTTTTGTCATAACGGAGGCTGGGGAATATTGTATTTTAGCTGGCTGTATTGCTGCCTCCAATATCATAGAGATTGTATTACCAAGGAAGATGGGGAAAACGATGTTGGATAGGCAAGTAGTTGTTCATGACATTTTTCTCAGAACACCAGATTTCTGACTTGGGAAATTTGCTGAATGGTGGTGAATGGATGTATCATTCATTCCCTGAGACAGTGGATAAAGGAGGAGGATGAATTCCCTTTAGGGGCAGGTTGAGTTTAAGCTGCTGGAGGTATTAAGGTAAAGGTGTTTGTGCAAGGCAGAATAATGGCTCCCAAAAGAAGTCTATGTCCTAATCCCTGACACTTGTAAATAGGTTACCTTATATGGCAAATGGGAATCTGCAAATGTGATTAGGTTAAGGAGTGAATTGGACCCCCCCAAATTCATGTTGCAATGCTAACCCTTAGTGCCGTAGAAGGTGACTGTATTTGGAGACAGGGTTTTTAAAGAGGTAATTGAGTTAAAATGAAGTTGTTGGCCCTTATTCCAGTTATGACCAGCATCCTAATGAGAAGAGGAAATTAGGACACAGACACACGGAGGAAAGACCAGGGGAAGACAGTGAGAAGTGACCACCTGCGTGCAGAGTAGAGAGGCCTCAGGAGAGCCCAGCCCTGAGGGCCACTTGATCTGCTGGTCTCTAGAGCTGTGAGAAAACAAATTTCCGTGGGTTAAGCCGCCCAGTCTGTGACACTGTTGCGGCAGCCCTGGCAGACTCACACAGGACGTGGGAAGACTACCTTGGATGATCCCCATTATGATCACAGGGGTCCTTATAAGTGGAAGGGAGTTGCAGAATCAGAGGAGATGAGGCAACAGAAGTCGGGGTCAGAACAATGTGACTGCTGGCTCTGGAGAGGGGGGAAGGGCCGCGAGCTAAGGGGTGAGCCGCCTCTAGAAGCTGCTGGAGGAACTGTGGGAGCGAGGAACAAATCTTCCCCCAAGGCCCCCAGAAGGTCTGCAGCACTACCGACACCTTGATTTCAGCATGATCCATTTTGATCTTCAGACTTCCAGAATGGTAAGAATGAATTTGGTTGTCTTAAGCTACTAAATTTATGATTTGTTTTGCAGAGGCAGCAATAGGAAGCTACCACATCGTTCAATATGCATTTAGACGTATGGGGCTGGATTTGGGGAGTCACCAGCACGTGGAGAATAACTGGAGCCACTGCTAATGAAGAAATAGTTCCCAGTGGTGCCAGAATTAGGAGAGATGAGGTCTAGGGAAGAAGCCTCAGAGAGACTGACAGACCAGGAAGCGCAAACTAATACTGCTGATGCTTTGATGGCCGGGACTCAGGACAGAAGTGACCTGTGGAGGAGGTGGTTAGAAGTGACCCCTTGAGCATATTCTTCAAAAAGCACTATCTTTACCACATCTTTGAAGGCATGACAGAAAAGTGTCAGAGGAAACAGGGAAAATCAAGACCGTGAAATGGAGTCACGACCGTCAGCACAGGAGAGTGGCTTTTTACATACAAGCCTCCCTAGCAACCACCAGGCCACTCCCAGTCCCCTCCTGTCCCTGTCCTCTGGTTCCAGGCCCCTCCTTCCCACCCCCCATGTGAAAACCTAGCAAAGCACTATTACAGGTGGCCGCAGGGTCGACTGGGTCCAGGCGGATCGGGGACCACTCTGTCCGCTCACAGCACCTCCTGCTTCCCTCTGTCCCTGTCACACCACACCACAGTCTATGAGTCCTCCACTCCTTGCTCTAGGGACCAACCTGATGCTTCCCAAGGTTGCAGTGCAAGCCTGCAGCACCTTATCCCAGTTCTGCTGTCTGGTGTGTGGCCGGTGCTTGGGGGATAGAAATGCCCGGCTAGTGGCTACTCCCAAGGGACAGATCCAGAGACTGTGTCTGAGAAGGGGATCAGAGAAAGGGGGGGCCCAGGGGCCTGGCAAATGAGTTAGGCAGCTGCTACCATAGAGAACCACGCTTCCCTCTCTTCTGGGTCTCCTTGCCAGGCACCCCACAGGAAAATGACCGTTTGTGCCCAAATTTCTTTCTTGTGGGAAGATGAGCCCAACTCGGTCTACAGAATTATCAGGAAGACTGTTGGCATCTGCTCCTCCTCACCTTTGCAGTCACCTGGGTGGTCTTGCCAGAGGGCCCTGCTGGACAGTGGGAGAGTCTCCATTCAGGGGCAACCCTTGTTGAGCCTTCTTTCTTCTCGGAGAAGGAGCCCTAGAGTGGGAGATGGCCTGGGACCCCTCCTTCCTGCACCTGTGGTCCATGGGAGAGGAAAGCACAGAAGCCCCCCTCCCCACCAGAGACCTGAGGGAGACGACTGCTCTGTGCCAGGGCCTGGCTCGGCTGGCATAGCTCCTGGTGCTGTGTGCATCTGCACAGATGGAAACCTCAGACAGGAACTGGCCACTCCCTTGGGTGTGGCCCACAAGCTCAGGGCTCCAGGGGTGGGTAGGACTTGGATGTGTAACCACTGGGCCAGCAGTGTCCAGCAGTGTCCAAGGCCCACCAGTGACTTCTCTCCAGGCTTGATGAGGCAGGGAGGGTCTTCTGAGAAAGTGGGGGACACACCCACAGCACCCCTTGTGCTCAGCAGCTCGGCTCCCTGGGGGAGTGACACAGGCTCTTGACAGCTCCTTTGGTTCTGAGCACTCCGTGGGCGGTGGTCTTGAGCCTCTGGGTTGGGGGAGGGTATGAAGCTGGGCTGTGATGTCATGTGAAGATGGAATAGCTGGTGACAGCTGGCTCCACCTCCTGCTGCTCGGCAGAAGAGCCTGGCCTGTGGGACAAAGGACAGATGTGCTAAGGCCACCTTGCTCCGAGAGTGTCACCTAGTGCTGGAGGATGGAGACCGCCCATTTCTGCCTCTGACCCCTCACTGTGTGGACGCCCCTAGCATGCCGCCTGGCTCAGGAGGCTCAGAGTGCGGGGAGAACTGTCCTGGCTGGCAGTTCATTTTGTCCTCTCCCTCTGGCTCCTGGCCACTTTCCTGGTTGGTGATCTGAGCCCCTGCTTGGTTTTCTCTCCTGCCTCTCTACGGACCCTCACACCACTCCTGCTTTTCCTGCCTTGCGGCCCAGAGCCCACCACGGCTACCCTGGTGGCTTCTGTTGGAGGCCTTTGGAGAGCTGAATGGGGTGGCGGTGATGGTGCAGGCTCTGGAGCTAGACGTCTGATTTTAATCCTAGCTTGGCATCCCTGTGGTTCACTTATCTCGTGTAGAATGAGGATGGTGACAACAGTAGTACCTCAGAATAGGGTTTTGAAAAGGATGAAGTGAGTTAATGCATAAGGGGCTTAGATCAGTGCCCAGCCAGCAGGGAGCACCTAAGAAGTGTTCGTTATTTCAGCCTGCACCCTTCCTCTGCTCTTCGGACACCACTCCAGAATGTCCTCTCTGGCCGCCCCTGGTCCTCTCTCCTCCTGCCCGCTTCTCATGGGCCTCCCCCACCGTGCAAAGCCCAGAGCTCCCCACTGGTGTTGCCCAGAAGCTTCACCAGGTTCCCGCTCAGGTGGCTCCATTTCCCACATTCACTGTTGGGCATGGCTGGGGCTCCGGGTTTTAGTGTTCCAGAGCCCTCTGGCCTCCGAGGGCTGGAGACAGTGACAGAGGGATGGGCGTGGGACAGGACAGGATGGGCATCAGGACTGGGCAATGCTGCAGGAATTGAAGGAGAAACAAAATACTGTCTGCTTGTCCAGGCCCAGAACCATCCTCTTTTGTTTTCCTTTAAGGACGGAGCAAGCAGAAAGTCAAGGACCTGGCGAGTGGGGAGTCAAGGAGAACAGGGCCAGAATCTAAGACCGAAGAGAAGCAGAAGAGAAGAGGCTGGACCAGGAGAAAGGAAGAGGGGCTCAGAAGGCAGAAGGAGCTAAGCTGCTAACTTCCTGCGCTTGCTTGCCTGAGTTCCTGGGGACATTACCCAGCTCACCGACCCCAGCACACTGATCATTCCAGAAAGTTCTTTTTCCATATCTCTTTTTTGGTCTCAATATGGACCTGTGAGGATGGAGACAGGAGCTTCTGCTCTGTCTGCCCCATCAGCATCTGAATGGAGGGCCATCAGCTCCTATGAGGCACCAGAGGAAATATGCATGAAACCCCCACTGTCCCCTTTCTCTCAGACAGTATGGGCATGTGGTGATGGGGTGGGAGTGCATTTTAGAGGGAAGAATCAGTGCACACAGCCTTGCAGTCCCTGGTGGAACAGAATGAAGACACAGCAGACACTGTTAAATAGAATACAATTCAACATTACATCTACTCCTTTAGGACACGGATGAAATTGAACTCTCCCAAAGAGAATAGCTGTGGGTGGGGTAATGCAATCCAGTTAGCCAGACACGGGAATGCTGGTCCTGTTCTCCGATCCACGGGCATGAAAGGAGTCAGGGCGGTGATGCTTTTTCCCAGAAATGTCATGCTGACCTGGGCTGCATTCTCAGACTAGGTGTATTCACACCTCAGGCTTCCATGCAGTGTTGGCTTTTGGGCAAATCTCCTCAGCATCTGCTGGCATATTCCTGGGTCCACACTCCTATGGGACATCCCAGTGGAGATAAATGATGCTTGGGGATCTTTCCTCACAGCCCCTTCCTCATTTTTCTTGCTGAGAAACTAGCTGGGGGAGAGGGCTTGTGGGCAAGTACTGCAGGAGACTGTGAGGCAAGCACGGACCCTGGACACTGGAGTCATGATGAAGTCCCCAGACTTCATTCCACCAAGACGTACAAGGTAGTAGCAGCCACAGGGCCCTTCTCCTAGCTGGGCCCATGGACTACAGGCTTTGGGCAGATGAAATCAGACAGAGGACATGTGGATTCCCAGCGAAGTAGCTGGGAGTCCATCCCATTTGCTCCATGTAAGAAAGCATCGAGGAATGTGAGTGATTTATAGGGCCCATATTGAACCTGCATTCATGTCAGCGAAGGGACATGATCTGCAATCCCTGCCACTTGAGACACTAGAGCTACAATTAGTGACATGGCACTTGCAACACTTCCCACATTGGTCCTGACCACCTGTGTGCAGGGGACAGGTGGGCTAAGGGCCCACCACACTGTCTCAGTGAGAGACATGCCATTCAGGGGGAAGCTCAAAGGCCACAAGCTCTCAGAATTTAAGCTCCATTGGTGGGTGAGGCATACGTCCTCATGTCACAGTACCTGCTTCCATGGAACACCCTATGACACAGAGGGAACAAGGTGAGGTTGTGACTCTGCATATGGAGCCACCACGAAGGATGGGGATACCTGGATGCCTGGTAGACAGGTTGCCATGGTAACTGGGGAGGTGGTCCAGGAGGCTGAGGAGTGCTGGGCATCAGCTCAAGCCAATGGTGATTCTAGTGCAGGATGCCCTCCCTGCACATCTTGTCATCAGATGCTTTCCTCTGGCCTGGCCTAGGGCAGCTGGCCAGCTTTCTCACAGGGACCCCTCCTCTGTCACCTAAGGGCCTCTAGTTGCTACATGGAGCCCCAGGTTTGGAGAGTACTTACCTCCTGGGTGGTCTTTGCTCAGTGGGTTCTCTGGAAACTCCCTTCCAGTCTCTGCCTGAGACCCTAGGAGGCCCTCGGTGTACCCCCCTGGAGAAGCTGCACTGAGGCACTTGGGGAAGCAGGCCAAGAGAGGGGCTGGAACGGCACATTCGGGAGGCGAAGGAGGTGACTGTGCAGTTGCCTCCCTGATTTTACTGTGTGCCCCCTGCTCCCTGCCCCCGAGCCTTTGCAGAAGCTGTTCCCCCTACCCAAAATGCTTTTCCTTTCACCTCTGTGCTAGCTCTTATCTTTCCTTCTGTTCTCAGTTTGGATGACACAGGCTCCAGTAATCTCTGTCCTCTCCCAAATCTGGGTGGGCTGTGCCCTTCATGTTCCCACACTGCTTCCCCATTTCCCCCATCAAGTACTCAGCACAGGGTATCAAATGCCTGTTGGCCTGGCTGTCTCTCACTTTGGAAAGAAAAAGAGAGCAGGGACCTTGTCTGTTGTGCTCCTGACCCAGAGCCTGGCCAGAGCAGGGCACTCAATACACATTTGCTTGTACAGTGGGTGGGGGCAGGGAGAGTAGAAGTTGGATTTTCTAAAGCAAATTATATCTCTTGAAACCTACAGACCATTCAAATGTGGAATGTGATTTACTTGATTTTGATTCCTGACAGAGGCGAAGGAGAGAACAAGCTGACAGAATCCTCTGCAGGTTTCCATCATGCTGTTTTAGAATTGGGTGTGGAGGCAGGGGTAGGGGGAAAGCTCAGAGGTGAGAATAGTCGAGGAGAGGGGTTAGAAGGTCAAGGGTAAACTGTTACATCCCTCAGCCCCACTGGCTCTGGTGTAAATACAATATAATTGGGAATTAAACTTCCTCAGCTGGCCGAGGAACATTTCTGGGAGGAATGTGCCTGCTTGGGAAGTATGTCTCCCAGGCTGGCTGCCCTTCACTGTTCACTCTTTGGAATGTTTGATGCTGTGACTCAACTGGTCTCTTGAAATGCAATCCAGTATTGGGGCCCAAGAAGGGTGCTGGGGCTGGCAAACCCAATGGGTCAGAGCTCAGCCTCCCCTCTCTTCTGCAAAGGACTCCTGCTGGACAGTTTGGATTCCAGAAGGATCAAAATGTGGATTCCAGGCACTCAGACATGTGAACATGAGGTTCTCCTGGGGGCACAGCCCACCCCCAGGCATTTCCCAGTGTGCATAGCTCTTGCAGAGAGTCAGATGAGTGACACCTAGCCATGGGAGTGGGGAATGAGGGCCATGAAAGGGATGGCTGCAGCCAGAATCCGAGGGAAGCGTCAGTAATAACAGGAGACTACATGAGATACAATGTTCCCCAGCTCCTGGGGTGGGGCCCTGAGCTCACTCTCTCCCACAGGGCCAGGAAGAGGGTTTGCCTGGATCACTCTGATGGCCAACCCCACCACCAAGGAGATGGTCATCACATCTCTTTCTGGTCGAGGTGCAGGGTAATGGGGAGAACAGGATGAGGCTGCCATCAGCGATTCAGGAAGAAGGACTTGAGACTCTGGAAGAAAATTGACTTCTGTCTCTGCTTCTGTTTCTTTTTGATGATGGGCACCCACACCAGCCCACACACGAGCGTCATGAGTCCCAGGGACAAAAAGGCAGGCCCTGTCATCTTCAGGACCTTCAGGAGCTTGTCATCCAGGCTCTGGATGTAGGTGAAGCAGGTGATGACCACACCGAAGAGGAGGATGGCGCCACCCACAGACATGACGATGATGGGCTTGCGGTAGATCTCCCAGTTACTCCTGGGAGCAGCGGTCCAGACGGACTCGCTTCTGGAGCTGATGCACAGGGAGCTGGCTGTCTGGCTGGGCAGAAGGTCCTTGGACTCTGGGGACTTCTCGTCGACCTCCAGGGCATTGGGAAGAGCCGCCGTCGCCATGGCTGCTTGGGACTGGGCACCAGGTGTCCACAATGGTGAGCAGCAAAGACGAAGCCAAAGGAATCCTCCTCATACGCCTTTCCTGTTCTCAGCATCCATCTCCAACCTGGCTCTCAGTGGAGGGCAATACAGGGATTTTGTGCTGAAGCCAAAAGGAACATCAGATGAGATCCACATAAATAAGATACCACTTAAGTTGGCGTTTTTGTTTTTTCTTATGAGAAATACATATTATAATGTTGGAATCAATTGCTTTTAGTATTTAAAATAGGGAATATAGGTGTCCTTAAAAACAAACAAAAGCTAAATTTACAGAATGACATCTTATTTTCAGGCTTAACCCCATTCTCACTGTGTGATCTTGAGTGAGTTACTTAATGTCTCTGTAGTTCAGCTTTCTTTTCTATAAAATGGGGATAACAGTACTGCTCAAAGGGGATAACCCTTTTCAAAAGGGTTAAATGAGTTACGACAGGTATTGCATTGAAACAGAATCTAGCATATTGCAAGCCCTCCATAAATGGTATCATTTGCCTATTATTGATAACTTTATACTTTCATGTTGCCGATTAGTGATAATTTATCACAGTGTAAGGAAATGCCAGGGTTGAATTTGAGCCCGGTCAGCTCTTGCTCCTAAAATGCCAGGCTGCATCTGGGCTGGAGGAGATCTTTCAGCGCAGCCCGGGGTTTGACGTGCTTTGTCAGCATAGGGCAGGGAAGCTGCAGGTCATTGCTGCCTGCGTTCCTCTGCGGAGCCCGGCAGTCCAGGGGTCACTTTCCTAAAGCGCATGCACTTTCTCAAGCCTTTTCTCTTTTTCCCTCCTTTGATTAACTGACTTTTGCCCTTTGCTTCCACGCCCTCCCCTCCTCCAGGTGTCCCAGGTTCTGACTCTGATCTCTTCTGTTTCAAATCGGGCCCCCTCAGGCCCTGCTCTAATCAGCATTTACTGACATCTGTCCTTGTGGGGGCAGTGGGGCAGATTTCCTTCCACAGCAGGAAGTGTGTTGGGGGAGGTGGTCTATTCATCCCAGTCATCTGGGTTCCCCCTCCCCACCCCAACTAGGGTCGGAGTCCGACCAAAGTATGGAGGGGGCGGGTGCATTTTTGGAAACTCCCAGGTGACAGATAGCTTGGGATAAAGGAGATGGTGTTTGAATTGGTGGGTCCCAAGCCCCAGCACTCTGGGACCTGCCCGCTCTTCTTTACCAAGGCGCTACTACACATAGGAGGGTCCTTTGGGGAATGGTCTCTCCTTCAACACGTCCTACAATGTTAATTTCAAGCCTAATCCCCGTCAAGCCTAATCCCTCGACGTCTTGCAACAGCTCAGGCCTGAACCACCGGATCAGTGCTTGCACCCACTCCAAAGTATAATGTCCCCATTTTGCAGAAGGAGCAGTTACAGGTCTCTGCCCTTTGGCAGGGAGGAAAATAGGGATTGTAAATTGTCATGCCTTCAGGATGTAGACGTTCACATTCATACGGACTCATCTGGAAAGAGAACATTTAGATCTCTGCTTCCAAAGACTTTTGAAAACTATGAAGGCTGTGCTTTTGTAAGTATAGGCACACAGGTGTTGGCTTCTCTTTCCATCCTGTGGTGTATTTGCATGAGTGAAGGAGTCTTGTTGAAGTGGCCTTTTCCTCTGTGGGCTTGGGGGAAGGAGGGCATTGTAAAGCATTTTATGGAATCCTAGCTGGGAAGTTGGTGTTGGTTGTTGCAGCCCGATTTCTGATGTGGATGTTTTGATAGGGCAGCCGTTTCCACCACTTTGCAGTGTAGACCCAGGGCAGAAGTGTGTGCCGCCTTCAGATGCTGGAGATGGTGTGACAGGGAAGGACCGGCTCCCCTGGGGTGTGAGGTGGCCACTGTGTTGTGAACAGGGAGTGTGGGACTAGAGGCAGGAACCACCACCAGGGGCAATGGATTTCTGGCCTCTAGGATCGGGGGACTAACCGGGCCTTGTTAGAAGCACCTAACACTTGCCCTTTGGTCCTGCAAGCAGGTCATGTATTTATTCCCATTTTACAATAGCAGAGACCGAGGCCCAGTGAGATGCATGGCGAAAGCCTTCCCCAATTTTGTGTGGTAGTGTTGGGATTCAGGCCAAGGTCTTGCCATGCAACCTCCTTGTGCTAGTCCACACTGGTCTGGATGAGTCTCCAGGGTTCTTCATCAGCTAGGACAGTGTGGAGCTTTTTGCTTTGGGGCTTCCTGCAGTAAAGCAACCTCTCACTGAATCTGGAATGATGCAGCTAGGTAGTTGTATATGAGTCACTAGACCACAGAGAAATAAGAACACTGCTGGAAATTTTTCGTAATGTTACATTCATTTACTTTAAAGGACTATTTTTACTCTACAATTGTGTCCTTCCCTTTTATTTTGGCAGTCTTCTATCTATCTATCATCTGTCCAAATGGTAATGGCCCATGAAATCCCAAACAATGGGGAGCTTTAATTTAGTTGACTTACTTGGGAAGAGGGGTGGGTCCCTGGGATAGTGATGGGAAGGCCTGGCTTCATTCTCAAGGCAGTGCCCTAAGAGACCAGGTTCTCCTCCCTCGAGCAAAGGTCAACACTGTTCCCTCTCCCCTTGCCTCCCGCCCTCCTTTAACCAGGTGGTGGGGGGGGGGCAGGAGCAGCCATAAATAGATGGGGGGGCAGGCAGGGTCCAGCCTTGGGATGAACACTGTGCAGGTGATGAGTATAGTCGCTCCTGTGGGTCTCCACACTTCAAGTGTCTGCATGTGACGGGAAGACCCAGGGCTTTGGCATCAGAGGGACCACTGTCTGAACCCACTCTGCCTCCTACAAGCTGTGGGGCCTTGGACAGGCTACCTAAGCCCCCAACTACTAGCCCCATATGTAAAATAAGGACCATGGGATATCTGCCCTGGGCTGTAGTGACTACCAAATCTCACAGAACACTACTACACTGAGGGGCACAGGGCAGCCGATCAAGAAAGGGCCGTGAGACTTACAATGACTTTTTCTCAGTCCCTGTGTTCTCCTCTGTAAAGTGAGAAACTGGGCTATGGGACTTCACCAACTAATTTAGGTAGGTCCGAACGTGGTGCATCAAACTTGAATTCTGAGAATACAGGTATCCTGAAAATCACCAATCCAGGGGGCAGTGTGAGTTTTATAACATTTTATTAAAATCCTTCAAAATTCTATTTTTTCCCCTAGAAAACTAGGGTTTCCTGACAGCAGGGGTATTGACATTTGGGGCCCAATAATTCTTCATTATAGGGGCTGGCATGTACACTGCAGAATATTTAGTAATATCCGGGCCTCTACCCTCTAGATGCCAGTAGCAGCCCCCTCCACCCCCATTCAGTCAGGATAACCAAAAAAGTCTCTAGACATTGCCAAGTGTCCCCAGCGGGCAGTCAGTCCTGTGTAGGACCGCTGCTGCGGCCCGCCCTCCGCCCTTCCCCACAGCATGGGCAGGGTTTACTCATCCTCCCCTCAGCACACGCCTGGCACTCAGCAGGTGCCCCAAGACTGGGCCATTGCTGCAGCTCCCTGAGGGGCCGGGGAGTACCCAGGGAGCTGGGCCCTTGAGCAGAACCCCACTTTCAGGTTTGGGCTCAGTTCCAGGGGGTTCAGTTTGTGTGCCTCAGAGCTCCCTCACCCCTGCAGTGGAGTGACTTGTCCCCGCAAAGCCCAGAACGTGACGTACTTGGCATAAGAGTCTTTGCTGAGGTAATTAAGGCTCTCTGGACGTCAGCACCATAGACTAGTCTAATGATTAGTGTCCTCATCAGAGAAAGGAGAGGAAGATGGACACTCCGAAGGGAAGGCCTCCTGGAGACTGAGAAAGAGGCTGAAGCCAGGCCTCTCCCAGCCAAGAGGCTAGGGTTGCCAGCAGCCGCCAGGCATGGAACCGATTGTCCCTCAGAGCCTCCAGAAGGAACCAACTCTCAGACACCTTGATTTGGGACTTCTGTGTTCCAACCATGAGAGGGTAAACTGTTGGTTTCAGGGACTAAGGTAATTTGCTACAGCAGCCCTAAAAAGCAAACACACTCACCTTCGCTTAATGTTCCCGATAACCCAGAGGTGGACAAAGGCAGAGGCCCTCAGGGTTCGGACCAGTGTGGGAGACAGCAGAAGGTCAGAGGGGGGCCTCCTGGACGAACCACAGATTTGACCATTGGCTCAGCCCTCAGGGCAGCAATTTGAGGAGGGGGGTGGGTCTCTCTTGGAGGCCACAGCTGGAGTGCCAGGAGGCAGATTTAGAGGGTGGAAGCTTATTGTAGCACATGACTAGGGACAGGCAGGCCACAGGCCAGCTGAGGGAACCACGGTCTGGGACTACACAGCAATGACCAGGAAAGAATGACCCTAGTGTGAACATGCATGAGTCCCCAAACAGGACACCAAGAGCAGCCAGACACACTTCTATTTCCATAAAATTCCATTTACATAAAATTCAAAAACATTCAAGACAATCTATGCTACTAGAGATTAGGGTAGTGCTTACCTTTGGTGGGGGCAGTGACTAGAAGGGGCGCAGAATGGAGACTTTCAGGGTGTAATGTTCTGATTCTTCCTCTGGCCACTGGGGTTTCTGCTGGAGCTGTATGCTTAGGCTATGCCCACTTTCTGGGTGTATGTTAAACACCAAGAAAATGTTTAAACAAAGATAATTAAAAGATACAGCTAAATGCAATATGTTCCTTTCCTTGGAGTCTGCTTAGAGCCAAGTATTCAAACACATTGGGGATAACTGTAGGGAGGTTGAATTTGGGTCGGATGACACTAAAGATTTAAGATTCGAATCTGTAAGATAATGATATTGTGGATACAAAAGGGAACGTCTCTATAGATACGAGACAATGTACAGGGAAGAAGTGTGATGCCATGATTCCCATGAAATTATCAGACTCCACATCAAATATAACAAAATGCTAAAAGTTATTAGATCTAGGTGATGGATGTTCATTATATTACTATCCCTACTTTTATGTATGTTTGACAATGTTTATAATAAATAAGAAATTGAATATACAGGTGGGCAATGGCCAGACCAGGTATAAAAATAGAACTCTGACCCACAATCTGTAGCAACCAGCTCAAGAAACCATCCTATTATCCACAGTAACCAGCCCAGGAAGCCCCCCTATAATC